GACCCAATTGACCAATGAGAGCGGGGCAAATGGGCGGTCCCTCGCGTGACATCACTGCCAGGCAAATGGGAGGCTTCTCCGGCCCTGCTGCAAAGGTCCGCCATTTCTCCGGCGCGACCCTGGCAGATTTGCCAGGCTCGCGCCGGACAAATTTGTCCGGCGCGAGCCTGGCAAATCTGGCGGAGTCGCGCCGGAGAAAATGGGAGGGGTCCGGAGCAGAAATGGGAGGCCTCCGGAGCAGAAATGGGAGGTATCCGGAGCAGAAAATGGGAGGTATCCGGAGCAGAAAATGGGGGGTATCCGGAGCAGAAGATGGGAGGTATCCGCCGGAGAAATGGGAGGTATCCGGAGCAGGCTGCGTATCGATTTGGCGCGTAGCAAGCAAACGTCTAACTCCACGGTGATGAGTCCTCTGTTTACGCTCTTTGTCCATATTTTAGTCGCCGTTTATTTGATTCTGTTGTTTTTGCGCGTTTCTTTACCGTTTTTTCCTTTTCCGCGTTGCTCTTCGTCGCGTTGGCGTTTATGTTGCTGTAAGTTCCTCGTTTTTAGGTTTATGTTTGAAATTTTCGTGCGGTTGCACTCAATCACCTTCAGTGTTTGGCTCTTTCCGACTTGCTGAGACATCGTAGACTATTGATGGAGTGGTTTTTGTGATTAATTCTGGATTTTCGAAACAATGAGGTTAGTTGCGCAACTATCTAGTGTTGTTGTGATGAAAGTATCGTCTAAATAATCCGTTTATTGCTATAGTGTGGACCCCGGCCAGGTTCCCATAGGTACCTCCGCGGCGCGCCCGCAGCGCATGCCTTCAGTGCGCTTTTCGTTACGGCTCTGAAGGGATTTCTTTCAATTTCCTCTTTCAAGTGTGTTTGTTCTCTTCTGTAATCTCTACTTTAGATGTAAACGACACACGTCAACTGCTGGTGATGGATTTTTACGAGTCTTGACAGTCTTGCAAGCATTTGTTTCGAAAATCTTGTTTTTTTCTCAATAGTGAAGATTTCGGTGTAGTTCAGAGACATCTCTCCAAATGTTCAGAATAAGTGTATATGCAGTTGATTTTGTGGAGTGTAGATGCTTCTAGCCTTTTGTTACACCATCAGAGCTTTGCAATCGTGCTCTTGAGCTCAAACTTTCTGGGTTTTTTTATGAACAGAAGGAAGACTTTTCAGAATTGTTCTTCGACTTTTCCTGTTACTTCTATCATCCATCGCTGGTAGTGTCATACACTACTAGCGATGGATAATAGAAGATTCCAGTTATTTATGAGATTGACTGGAATCTGAGCGCTAGTAGTAGAAGTTGTGAAGGTTCTCCTATTGCCTTGGCTTTTCTCGTGTTCGCATTAGAGGCCTCCACATCTCATTTCACTCCTGTTTTCGGTTATAATGCTTTTTTGTTCGTAAGTGAAATGAGAAGCGTTCAAGTCGGGCGCGCGTTGCGTGTGCGCCGCGCTAGTACCTGAAGCTGGCCGGGGTCCACACTATCTCTCTCGTACGTATGCTTACCAAGTCGATCGACTTTTCATCAGACGTTGCAGATCCTCACTATATCGTTTCTGGCTTGAAAGATAGGACAAGGCAAGAGATATGTTGACAAAAGTCTTGGAGGCAACTCCAAACGATGTTGAAGTTTTGTGACTGTTACTGAAGCATTGTGACTGTTACTGTTGCTTAGTCACATCACATTGCTTCCAGTATTGCTTAGCGAGATTAGGGACTGATAAGGCTAGGTAAGCATGTAAATGTGAAATGTTTGAGTCACATAGCTTCTTCTTTACTGTTTATGTGACTTTCAATTACAATTTGCAGAATCGCTTTTGAACGAGCGTTGGAATTGCAAAATGACAATGTTTGTGCTCTCTCAGCACTTGCCATTTTGGATTACAATACGCATACTGTCGAGGGAGCCCAAAGTGCAGTGGCTTGTCTAGGCCAAGCGTATAGTCTGGAGCCGGAGAATCCGGTTGTCTTGGTCCATCTTGCCAACCACTTCTTCTTCAAAGGAGTCAGTGCAGAAATTCTTTGAATTAATTACGAATTATCTATAAAAGGGACCTTTTAAATTTGTCCAAGCTGTTACGTCGAGGTGTTTATCGCTTTATCTTTATCGAAGGCATCACTTTTTCAGGAAATGAACAAGGTTGAACGGTTAGCGTGGCATGCAATGAGTATGACGGAAAGTGACGAAATCAAGGCCGAAGCTTGTTACATTCTTGCGCTGTTTTTCCATTTCAACAGAGACTATGAAAAGGCGTTCAAGGTAAGTTGCATATGCAAGAATTTCAATCCATGTCATCATCGTGTCCTAGTACTATTATCAAGCAACTACGTTGAATCATCCTACTTTCGTTTTGCCCCAGTATGGCCTTGGACCTCGGAATTCGAAGATGTTTGGATGAATATAGCTCATGTATATATCGCACTTGGACAATATGTCCCTGCTTTGCAAATGTGAGTTTATGGCGTTCCTCGCTGTTTTGTTTCATGTTGCACAGAATGCTTTTTTGATCTTTTTGTCATTTTCTTACCATGTTAAAACCATATGCTTATACTGTGGTGTTACAAGGTTCTTTTTGCAACTAGGAAATTAGTTTTTCTTTGAATATTCTTATCACTCCTAGTATGGTTTTTGTAATATAAATTAACTGTTGTACGTATGCTGGAGATAGATAGATAGATTTTTCGAAAGTTTGATAAATTTGAAATAAATGTCTTATCTCTTCGTTCTTTCTTCTATCTTCTATCCACAAACGCTAGGGGTGAGAGGGAGGGGGTAGAGTACGGGGTGAGGGTCGCGCTAAACTCCTACCCGGGGGGGGGGGGGTCCTATTCGGCTTATTTGGGTGGGGTTTAGAGACAAAATTGGGGTTTGGAGCTTAAAGGCAGCGTCCAGGCAAGTCTGGACCTATGGGGATTTTACATGGAAAGTATTTTGGGGCCCTAACTAAGCCACTACCCAACCGGCAGCTCAAGTAGTGCTCTAACGCCTGAGATATTCTGCTCGAAACCGGACCCCGCGACCGTGTTTCGCATGGATTCATGGCGCAAAGAGTGGATCCTGGCGCGAAACTGCCATGAATCCATGCGAGTACGTTCGCGGGGGTCTGTTTCGAGGGGAATATCTCAGCCATTGGAGCACTACCTGAGCTGCTGCTTCGGCAGTGCCTTAGTTAGGGCCCCAAAAGTACTTTCCATGTAAAAGCCCCATAGGTCCAGATCTGCCTGGAAGCTGCCTTTAATTAGGGCTAATTACAGTATGCCGCGATCGGGGGGCTCCGGCGCACAAAATCGGGGGGCTCCGGAGCAGAAAATGGGGGGTATCCGGAGCAGAAGATGGGAGGTCTCCGGAGCAGAAAATGGGAGGTATCCGGAGCAGAAATGGGAGGTCTCCGCCGGAGAAATGGGAGGGCTCCGCCGGACGAATGGGTGACCCACCGCTGGGGAAACGCCGCGACCCTGCCATTTCCCCAGCGGAGGGGTCCGATCCATTGTCTGAGTGGGCCTTGCAGGTGGAGATAAGCTTCCACATGGGGGAGCCAACACAACACAAGTCAGTCAGTCTGAGTAAGGGTCTCGCTATTGGAGCTTCTACTTGGGAAAACCCATTGCTTGAGTAGTTGGGTCTCGATGGTGGAGAAAAGCGTTTATTTGGAAAAACAAGATTTAAGTAACTGGGTCTCTCTGATGGGGACAAGCGTAAATCCAAGGGTTTGAGTAACTGGGTCTCGCCGGTGGAGTTGGGCTTTCACTGAAGAAAATCCAACGCGTGATCAACTGGCTTTCCCTGTGAAGACGAGCGTTTACTCAGGGAAATCATGCTTTTTCCGCGCAGAAGGGAAAGCTTCTAGGTAACTGGGTTCCGCAGTCGAGATGAGCTCCTATTTGAGGAAAACCCGAGCATGAGTAACGGGGCTTCTGGTGGAGATGAGCCTTTACCTGGGGAAATCAAACATGTGTAAGGGGGTGTGGCTGGCGAGCTGCTGGAAATGAGTTTCACTAGGGAAGACATTCCTAATTCTGTAGGAAGGGCTGTTGGAAACGGACGCCTACTTGAGGAAATCTGCTTTTCTTGAAGAGAGGAAAGCATTCAAATAAGTCAGTCTCTCTGGTAGAGATGCGCTTCTACTTGGGGAAATCAAAGCTTGAGTAAGTAGGTCTCGCTGGTGGAGATGAGCGTTCATTTAAGGGGGGGGGGGAGATCTTCTTTTTTATAAGGGAGAGCATGAGTGATTGGATTTGGCTGGTGGAACAAGGGCTTTTCATGAAGAATCATAGCGGGTAACACTTCGTTTTGCAAATAATATGCAAAACTTGATCACTGGTTTAGGAGCATTTATCGAAAAAGAATTTTGTGCAAAGGAAAGCATAAAAGTAACAGGTTCTCGTTGTCGTTTTCGTGGGGAAAACTTGTAGAAAAACGCATTGACTCGAGTCTCGCAAAACAGCTCAAGGGCAAGGTAAAGCATCAGCACAGAGAACTATTTCACATGCTTCCACCCAATAAGGAATACCTTGAGGCATTCAGTGATTTGGCGAAAAATTTGAATAAAATAAGAGTATGCAGAAGACGTTATTGAGATGCAGAAACTTTCTAAATCTACTTCGATCCACTTATAGCGACCAGCAGGGTCACTAGTCTGGCACATTAGACATTCGACAGCACATTTTCCTTTTCTCTCTTGGTTAGAAATGAAAATATGGTGAAAAAATGGCAAATCTCCTCTAGCCGTCCGGGTTCTTCTTACACTCTCGCCACTTGTTTTTTCTACACCTCTACCAGTCATGACTACCTTCCTGGATGCAACAGCAATGGTCTCCGAGCACAGCGTGGACGGCCTATACCTAATGTGTCCATTTCATTTGAGCTTCAAATTGTTCTGCAAATGTTGTATGTTGAATTTCCACTATTAAAGACAAACTCCTACGCAGCACTATAAACCTCACGCTAAGATAGAAAACAACTTTTATCACAGTTAATAAACCAAATAAATGATACTCCAGAAATCTACTATGTACAAACAGTAGAGAACACATAGTACAAAAGGTGATCGTTGTAGACTCAAATTATTTGTTGGCACATGCGTCATCAGATTTGATTAAACTTTTAAATAAAATGTTTGTCACAAAATTGATAGAGAAAACGGTGTACTGACAATGAGACATATATGCTTTGAACTTAGCAGCCAGAATCAAAACTGTACCACTGAGCAAAGATTATTAGACTAACAACTAAACGCCCGAATATAGTGAGAAGAAATATACGTATAACAAAAATACAGGATACAGAACCAGTGGCTTTTTTGATTGCAATTCGTCAACGCATAACAAAGTGCCAGCGCTATAGACACTCCAAATAACTCCAAATATGCCTAGACCTAACGACAACGTCCTGAACCTGAAATACAAGGTTGCGGAAAACATACAGATATTTGAGAACTGAGGCTGATGTGACAAGCAAAAAGCAAACAACATTTTCTTCTCACAAACAGAGGGCAGTATGGAAAATCTCCAAACCTGGTAACAAGTGTCATTAGCGCTCCTGTGACAACCAGGGGGATCAAGCAGTATCCGACGACACCAAGAACCTGGAAACGTTGCATACTCGTATCCTCAGTGATAAACTAAGCTCCAAAAATTCTCAAAACTAGTGCAGAGTTGTGCAGTTTTATGCACTCTAGACCGCCTACGTAAATTTGCTTTGGTAGATCTGATGCCTTTGTAGGACGTTTCTGAATCTAAAATCGGATTCACAAATTTTAAGCAATTTCTCCAACCCAGTGAACAGTGGGACTGCCAATCACCCCATCATTGGATGCCAACTGTAAATGAGTTGCCATGCCAAAATCATCAGGATCAAAAAATGTTTGCGATAATTCAATCAAAGCAAATCATAGATACAAATATGCGATCTCAAACCTGGGAATATCCGACATCACCACCAAGTGCTCGAGCAATAAAGTAAACTATGAAGCCACCGCAGAACCACATTGTCAATATCCATGACACGACCTTAAAATGTCACCTATAAACTTTTTTAAGGGGTATTCAGATTAAAAAGTTCCCGCGTAAGCATGCTCTACATGCATAGCACAAAAGAGCAGGAAGTTTTCAAAATGTATGACAGATTACACTAAACCTGACAAATCCAATCGTCTATTGTACTACTTCCAGCTAAAAATACAAACCAATAATTGAATAAGCATACCGAACTTACACTAAACTGGCCATATATGGACAGCAACGCGTAGGCGATTACCACCATGAGGGGTCCCCAAAAATCTGGCGATTCACGGACTATGTTGAGCTTCATTCGGAAGTATGGTAATGGAAGAAGAATGCAGCGAATTTTGTAGTATATGTCCGTCAGATCGATGTCAAGTTCTTCTCTAAATTGGCTTGGTAAGATATGTATTTGCAAAAAATGCATACCAGGCAATTTTCAAAAAAGAACAACGTAAAATTAATTGAACCCCATGTAAAATTTTGAAAAAGTGGGAAAGGGTGCAAAACGACTGTTTGTACTTCTACTTGAGTTCGCAGTAGTATTACACAATTTCTAACTTTATATTAAGATGAACAGGGTCAAAATCAATGGTTTTCCGCACTCTACATAGAGAAAAAAGTAAAAATGGCAGCCTAATCGAAAGGCAAAAAACTCAAGAGCCTAGAAATTATACGCTAAAAATAAACTCACAATAATGGTGTCTGAGTATCGTCTTCATCTTCTACTTCTAAAAGCCAACCAAATCCTTTGCTTTCAAGCAAGCGTCCAGCTGATCCTAGCTGCGCTCGAGAGTATGCCGAGGATGAGATGTTACCAGATGGTAATGCTGATGAACCCATGTCATAACCTAAGGAAGATGTCATCAAAGACGATGCCTGCAAGTACAACTTCTTCAGAACCCTCCTGACTATAGACTGCAAGCCTTTTCAATTCGTAAGTAATTTTTTCAACATCTGCATCATCGCCTGTAGTGTATAGGGGTCAAAACTCTGATGAGCAAATCCCCATTTCAGTTACTACCATAAATAAAAGAGGAAGGAACGGTGGCAATTTTCATGTTTAATTCGGTCCAATGTTGCAGCTTAGACTCGCTCAAAAGTGGAAAACATTTTTGACTAGTTCAGACTTCAAAGTTTTAGAGTGAACTAGAAGTAATCAAACTTCGTATCTCAAGGCTAATTGGCGGATAAATCAAAATTCGCTGTCTACATGACTCGCAAAAGAAAAAAATTGGCGCGCAATGCGAGTAACTTCTGTATCCGAAGAGGAATTTACGTCCAAAATTTTTGGAGAAAATTACGGAAAGGTAACATGTCAAGATATGGAAAAAATGGGAAGCGAACAAGCTTTCTTTTAGAACAAAGTGGTTACCTTCCATAAAGTAGTGAGGTCGAAACAATCCATCTTTATATAAATAATTGGCTATTCGTGTCTATCGTCTTGCCAGAACACTAATTTAGTTTCTCCATCACTTTTACAAAATGCGAGTATCGTGATGCTACGACACACCGCTACAGAGTGTCGTAAACCGACTGCAATGGTTTTTATTGCCAGTGCCATTCAAGTGTCTTATGAGTGAATAGCTATAGCAAAAAGCCGCAGAGCAGTTGAATTTGAAAAACATGATTGGTTAGAGTGAATTTAATTCTTCAGTGATGTGGTTCAAATTGGCAAAGTGAAAGCTTTATCTGTCTAGCTAACCAAACTTGGCATTTTCAAAAATTTCCTAGCAATGTATCGAGGTTCTGGAATTAACCGATAGAAAGTGACCGTCTCTGTCTTATGGCTAATGCGAAAGTCTCGATCATTATCGCGCAGGCTACAAACCCTCTACCTCTGGGACCGTTAAATTGTGAAATAGTAAACTAGGAGATACACTGATGGTAATCCTTGATCCCACTGATTACTAGATATTCGCACATATTCACACTTCCTTTCTGAAGTAAAATGCATTCGGCATCTTCATATTTCAATCACTTAAAGCGTCTAAGTCATTTCAGTAAAAAATCAAATGAAACAAAAAAACTGCAAGTCGATAGAAAATGAAAGTGAACAGAGTAAGATAGAAATTTTTGATTAAAAAATGTCCTACCTGAAGCATTCGGCTGTGCCGCGGCGTTGACATTGTAGTTACCCGAATCATAGAAACCAAACTCGTTTAGAGTTGAAGCAGCCCCGTTCAAATCGATGACGGTTTGAGGAGTTCGGGATGCACCACCAGGATGGTAATCCATCTGAAACGAGCCATACAAAACTCAAAAAATTATATTTTGAATTTATAAGGTTGGCCCGAAAGTTTGTTCGCACCATTTCAAAAATTCCTAACTTCTTAGTTTCTCAAAAAAAAATCTGCACGTTCGTATGCATTTGGAAATGAAGATCATGCATTTTAAAATAGCACCAGAAAGGCCTTCTACTACGCCTAGACTGCAGAGATATACGATATATGTACGTTGAAAATAAATTTCAAATTCATTTGTGCTGATTCGCCAAAAATGAGAAACTTGGACAAAAAATAGTGCAGTTGTTATTTTGAGTTTTACAAGCTGTTCTTCCAGCAAAATTTGTGTTGACTGAGCTTCTATGTGAAAGGTTTATAAATTTGAGCAAGCAGTACAAAACGGCAAATTCAGTCTTCTGGCATCTTTCTCGAAAACCACAGTTTCTGATAGAGACGCTCAATCGGCACAAACTAGGCGGATCATAAAACTTATAATATTAGCTGCATCAATTTTTTGTGCAAGTCAGATTTTTTTTCTACTCAAAAAAACTGAAATTCGAGTAATAAGTCTTACAGCTTTGCAATCTATGCGTAACAGATAACTATAGGTGCTGATGCAAAACTCATGATACTCTTCCAAATAAAATTGAAATTTGTGCAGATCCTCTAAGAAACTATGAAGTTATGAATCCTTCAAATTGCCAACGAACTTTCGGGCCAACTAATATATGAGCTGAGATTGCGCACAATGAGAAAATAACACAGAATGATGCGGTGTTTTGTTCTGCGTGTAACAAATCCAAAAACTTGACCAATCACAATTTCGCTCGCAAATTTGTGTCAAATTAGCGAATACAGAAAAACGCAAAATCCGCGCCGTGACGTGTTGGCCAACCGTGCACCGCTTGCAACGGAACACACGTCGGTGAAAACCGTGCCGCAATCTCAGTTCGGTTTTCTCTCCATTACTTTCTGGCCATCCGCAAGTAATAAGTCTGGTCTTTTTCTGAGAATTCTGAATGGTTTCATGTAATTTCGTACTATATATTGCGCTCCATATGGGGAATCATATAGGTTATCCTCTTGGTTATTATTGATTGAATTTTTATCTTGTTTTTGCGAGACAAATGTTCTGTTGATGTTGACGCTATCTGCATTGATCAATGTTAAGAAGTTTCTCTTATTTCTAAAGGTTTAAACCTTCCTTGCTACTTCTTATCACTTTTCAAATTTTATCACGGTCACATTCGTTACTTCAAAGTTCTTTTTGACTGATAAAAAACTGCTCTCTTCTTTTTTTGAGACTCTTCGGTCTAGTATCGCTTTCGTTGTGTTCGCTATCTACTAATCTTCAAAAGCTCTCCCTCATAATTTCCTAAATCTTCTGCAAATAACTTTATGGTTATACTTACACCTAGTCAACTATAAAGCACAGCATCTTTCGTCTTCCAAGCGTGGGAAACGGAGGGCCAGAGCCTGCTACTTTTATTTCAGAAGTGCAGAAAGTTTTGAGTTAAGCCATTGCGACGACACCTGATTTTGCGTGGCGGCGCTCTGGGGCGACGCGATTTTGCACAATACTTCCGGTCTGGCAAGGGTTTTGTGGTTATTGACGAAATGCAAGGTTGTTATGTAAAAACTATAAATATTTTCTTGAACTACGGAGCCTACAGATCCCAAGAGTGCAAAATATTGGAAGAAATACTGATTTGTGGAAAAATACTATACCTACAAATAATATTGCAAAGGATGTGGGCCACCAGTGGTCCACATCGTCCCTGAAAGCAAAAAGTACGTGGGCCACCGATGGCCCGCATCGTCGTCAATGGGTTAATACCCTTCAACTTTTCCTCCGATCCTCTGCTTTTCCTTTGTTGCATTCCAAATAACGTGGATCATGATCTTTTGGATCAATGTTCGATTCCTGCCCTTAGGTCAAGCGAGCATTAAACCAATACGAAAGTTTGGGAGGACTGAATCATTGACTCCATGAAAGGGTGACCCTCTTAAGTCTCTGATGGTTTACATGCATTCCGAAACTTTCCAGTTTGAGATAATGTGCGTTCGGCGCATTCTGCAGAGTATTCTGAGGATTCTTCAAACTACCGTTTGAAGTACTGATTCGAAGATGCTGAAGTCCTTCTTCTCAAATGTCTAACTCACTTGATAATCTTATCTCACTGAATTCTCTGAAAAATTGAGGCAACGGTCGGTGCTGTGTTTTCATATTCAGAGCTATCTTATATATAAAGCTGAATGTCTGTTTGTATGTCTGTCTGTACGTATGTTCCGAATAGAAATTTTTATTTCTGAACCGATCCGGACCAAACTTGGCACACATACACTTCGGGGCCGGGCGAGTGTCATAGGCTACTTCTCGTCATCGATCGATATAGATTTTATTGATTTTTCGAAAAGTTCGAGCTACGGGACTGGGAGTTGGCATAGGGGGGTAAGTGAGCATGTTGATACGAATATATTGTTGACAGGGCCGGGCGGAGCCGGGTTTCCAGCTAGTACAATAAAAAATGATTTATATAGCATTAAGAATCTGAATTTTGCGCAAAGAGGGCGATTATCTGGCTGTCTACTTCTCATCATAGCTTTTATTTCTTGTCTTATATCGGCTTTGATCTTGAAAATTCGCTAGATGTCCGTACTGTTGCTTTTCCCGAAGGGCATTTGAGAAGCATTGATGACATCAGAAGTGCGAAAGAAAAGGAGTGGACGTCCGAAGTTTCTCAGCAAATCTCAAAAACAAACTTTTCAAAGTTTTACTCGACTGCCTGAACGCCTAAGTTTATTTGAGTGTCAGTTGCATGCACACTTCAGGTTTGGCAAAAATGGAACATGCCAACTTTTTTGGATGCACATTTTCTCCCTAGTTTATGTTTTGATATCTTTGTTAACAACAGCGAGTGCTGTCATTTTCCACTCGTTACCAATAGTTTGGTAGAGATGAACGGAAACGCGACATAACTGTCTTGTGACACGTGGCAGGTTCACATTTCTTTGTCAAATTTGAATGGTTCATAATTCGGTGATATGGTGATTTGAATTACTGCGCAATGCAAACAATCGAAATTTTGCTTGCTCCTGCCTTATGGGAGTTCTTTCAAGCTGGAAAATGGCATTCATTTCATACGTTAGCGCCATTTTTTGAGCTTTGATCAGTTAGTTAAAGGATCAGTCTGTCTGCAACGGTCATTATCAGTAACTGATTAATGCTAGCGGGACGTCAATCAATATCTCGTGTAGTCTTATCCAATTTTTTGACCTGCTTTCTACATCAAGACTTTGTTGTAAGTACAAGTGTCGTGGGCCATCTTTTTCAAAAGTGAGGGCTGCAACGACGGAAAAGTACCATGCCGAGTGTTGGAAATTGGTTTTTGTGAATAGGCTTCAAGTAGGAGGAAAAAAGGTTTAGCTAGGGTAACAGAACCCAGTATGATGCATAACATTATCCCCTCCTGTCCTGCTCCCTTCCGTCTTCTTTACACTTTTGATCGAACAGTATCGAGCACTTACTCATTGTCTAGTGAACACATTCACAACGAGATTTCAGTGATAATTTTTCATTATCGCATTCATCAATTTCTCGAATTTTTTTGTAGGCTTTTGTGTCACTTTTGTATCAAAATTATCTTTCAGGTAATGAAAATGAGGATTCTCTTGTCCTTAACACTGCTAGTATTGATCGAAATCTGTAATGCATTGCGATTCAATGTACCAGCAAACAACAAGAAGTGTCTGAAGGAAGAAATCCATAAGAATATTGTTGTTACGGGAGAATACGAGATCAGCGAAGCTGCCGGATATTCAGCAAGTGTTCATGTAAGTTTTATCGTTGTAGCCGCTTTTTTTTTCTTTGATTGGACATCAGTCGAATTGGACTATGACTTGTAACCAGCTCTCGTCGGTTTTCTTCTCTGTATCATATGGAAGAGTTTATTTTTGATGTTTTCTGATGTTTTCGCTTGTCGTCGAAACCAAAAGCGCTCGCCATGCAAATCTTGACAGCAACTTGAGCTTAGACATGTACGTAAGTGTTTGTCTCGGAAAAAGAGGACCTGAACCAAAGGGCCCGCGCATCGAATCATCTGGATGTCCCTTTGTGCAGTTATTCGTAAATGGCTACGTTTTGTGCAGCACAGACAAGTTTGGAATGTCAAATGCTGCAAATTCCAATACTCTTCGTCATCAGGCGGGGATTTTTTAAGCGTATCTCTACTTCAAGTTGTTCATCTACCACATCTAATAAAGACTACAGAACTTAGCACCTGGTCGTATTTTTCAAGGGTTAAATCATATTTTGCCGCTTTGGTTCGCAAGAAAATCGACTTTTCCTATAAGCTCACGTGTTTATCACTGTGAATTGCAGAACGTCCTATTTGACAAGCCATCCTATATTTATTTTTGTCACACAGATGTAGTATTATAATTATAGGTGACCGACACTCGAGGGCATACTCTGTACAAGAGAGAGAAGTTCCATGAGACCAAGGGCAAATTCGCTTTTACCACTGACGAGTACGACATCTTCGAAATATGCATTAGCAATCACGCACCTGCCGGAACAGGTACGCTTGTCTCAAAGTTTCGTACTCTGTTTATCTTTTTTTTTCGTATGAAGGACTTTTTTCTGCAAATTGATGTCTTTTTCGTTTGTACATGCTCTCGCTAGGGCACAAAATGTTTTCAAAAAGTTTATCGGCCGCAGCAAAATCGGAATTTATCTAGCACTTTTTTGCAACAACATCAAAGCAGTTACGATTTCTATTATCTTCAGCACAGAAAACAAAATCAGGCGCAATGAATTTGTCTCTTTCAATAGATTAGGGCAAATTATTTAGGACAAGGCCAAGCTCGTGAGGTTTCGCTGAAGATGAAGCACGGCATAGAGGCTAAGAGCTACGACGATATAGCGAAGGCTGAGAAGTTGAAACCACTCGAGGTATGTATCGAATGATTTCCATATTTGGTATAGCTGTGTTCTCCTCGTCCATGAATTTCCGGAATATTTGTTTTTCATTATTGCGGCTGGATCAGATACTACATCGTTTAGGTCGAACTCCGACGTCTCGAAGATCTCTCTGATCAGATTGTGAAAGACTTCGCTTTCATGCGGCAGCGTGAAGAAGAAATGAGAAACACCAATGGTAGGTTGTGTGGTCGTAATTGGTTACTTTCAAAATCCGATAATATTCTGAATTTCCGTCATAGTTTTTTTTTGTAACGGAACATAACTTTCCTTTAGTCAACATTAACCTACATTACGCAATTCATCGAAAAGCGCATAGAAGAAGCATGTTATCCTAACTATGTGTGTAGAAATTTTTTTTGCAGAATCCACCAATAGTCGCGTACTCTATCTTTCTATCTTCTCGATGCTTTGTCTGCTATCCTTGGCTGCTTGGCAGGTAAGTAAAATCTTCCATATACTGCATCTCTCCTATATAATCGTCCATGGTTTAGGTCATGTTCCTCCGCAACTACTTCAAGCAGAAGAAACTCATCGACTAAGATTTCGAGGCACCATATAGTCTTAAAAACGATGAATGTAGATGTTTATCTGGGTTACTGCCTTGCTTGTCTCAGAATTGTCAATCTTTACTGTAGAAAGCGGAGCTGTCTGTGTCTCATTGAGATATAGTTTATTCGTTGGCCACACGGACTGAACATCACTGCGGAGCACGCGCCGTGAGGTAGAACGCTTGCTTCAGTACAGATTTGCTAGTGTACAGACTGCTCTCTCGACAATTCAGCCACGCTGCGCATGGTCCGCAGCGTTTGGGTAGTCCGTGTGGTCAACGAATCGACGATATTTCTTATTTTATTCGTGTCAAGTATTTCTAGAGGTTAACGAAATTTCACGACTGTTTTTTTTTGCAAAGTAGAAGCTATTCTCTTTTTGCATATGTACTACGGTAAACGTTTCGTGGGTAATGTGGTTTGAACTACCTTGTAATTATTATTTATTTTTGTTGTTGATGATCGTTTCAATAAAGTTTATTTCTTGAGAGTTTCAAGAATTGGGTTCATAACTTTATTTTTCCATTTGTTCTCGAATGCTTAAGATTAAATGATCAGTGCAATTCCCACAAAAATCAAGAGAGCAATAGCGTTGAACCGTTGGCGGGAGTCTTTTCTTGCACATTTTTTGGGACCAGTGTTATCGAAATCTTTTCGTTGCTGCTTTGTAAGCGTTTTCTTGTACTGAAAGTTGTAAAAGTTACCTGGAAAATTTGTTTTGTTACAACATCCTACCTGATCCTCCCGCTTTCGTGCTTCCGCGTCCGATATGCTCATATCGGTATCAATTGCCTGTTTTTTCGCCAAAATCGACAGTTGCGCTATGTAGCCGTTTTTGGTAGCATCATTCGTAGCCTTAGCATACCAACGTCTCTTCGCTGCTTTTTTGTCTTCAACTATTTTTTGATATTTTTTCTAAATAGTTGGACAATTATTTTGAGACCTAGTCACAACGTCGCACTGACTTCGATGTCTTTCGGCAATGTTCTGAGAATTTTCTTGAGCTGTTGCATTTGCTCATTTCTGGAATTTGCAACTTCGAAACAAATCTGAATTAATTGGGCATATACCTGATCATGTGCTTCTCCTCTGCTAATTTTTTTAGTTTGAGTTTTTCGCTTTTAGGTTTTACTAGAGCTTCAAGTTCTCTTATATACACCGGTCCATCATCGCACGGAAGGGCTGCCCAGACCGTGGTGATAACATTTAGTGCGATTATCAAGTGATGCATACTGCAAGAAAAAATCGTGATTTACTGTCGATCTGGAGAATCAAGAAAAGGAAACTAGAGAAATCTCTTGTAAAGAGTCAGGAAATGCTCCGCTGGAGCAACACTCTCTTCATTTTAGGACTGACGGAGCTCTTTATATAAACTGTCTTAGTCAGAGTGTCAGAGATCCAGCGACTTGACCCTTCGCGACTACCTCGCCTGGCTTTTCGTCACACTCGCGGACTTATCCTCTCGACATTCTCCCATGCATGCCAGCATTTAATCGCTGCTGAGGGGAGTATGCCCAGCATATATAATCTGTTCTAGTCGGGATATCAGGCCATTGGTTTAAATTTGTGCATTCGCAGCGGTAGGGGTTCGTGCTGCAGGAGAGCGAAAAAGTTGAAGGGAGCGCAGACCATTAGGTCGTAAGCGTGACGCAAAACCTAGTCACACACTCCCCGTTATGGCAATTTTGGCTTGCTCAGGATTGGAACAGACTGTAGTATGTCCGCAAGCACGGCGCAAGCTCTGAGCGGCGCTCAGACACTCGCACCGGCCGGCGACCGTTCCACGACCGGCCGGTCCATCACCGACATTTCGGCCGGAACGGTCGCCAGCCGGCCGCCAGCCGGTACTCGAACGGCCGCCAGCCGGTACTCGTGCGGCCGCCAGCCGGTACTCGTACGGTCGCGGGCCGGTATGCATCAATGGCGCAGCGAAATGGCACTGGGCCACAGTATCTCTTCCTCTAAATTCTAGCTTTTAGCACTGTATTTCAATACATGGTGGTACGAATCTACATAAACGTATTTATTATAACACTATACAATGCAAAGAAACACTGACAAAAAGGAATGTCACACGGGTTCACGAAAAATACATTTGACTACAAAGCTAACAACTTTTTATCTATATGGAAAGATCATTTGAAGCAGCAGGTCCACACATCGTCGTACAAGCGTTCCGAAATGCGCCGGTGGGTCGCAAAATGTTTTAATTCTTGTGCTTTTATACGCACACGTAAGCAATAACAAGCTGCATTCGATGGCCTATAAATGAAACAAACTACTACATTTTTATCTGACACCAGAACTTACATGCTATGCACAGAGTTGCGATAATGTTTGTTAGTAGAGCAATACCAGAAACATGTGCATTACAGTAGACGTTTAGAATAGATGATTGTATTAGTCTCTGGGAAACCTCAACGCTAATTTTAAATGATGTTCAAAAAGAACTTACATCGGAGTGGGTCCAGCAGCCGTGACCACATCAGATTAGCAGGAATGCGGTAGAATATCAGATAGTCCGAACCGTAAATGTTGCCAGCATAGTAGCAAGTGACAGATGAAGGTATCCAGATGAGTTTTCGAATACCCAACAGATCAGAAATTCCAGAAGTCCAGAAGTCAGAAGAACCCAGATCAGAAGTACCACAAGTCAGAAAAGTCCAGACATCCAAAAATGTGAATGATCAGAAATTCCAGAAGTCCAGAAGTCAGAAGAACCCAGATCAGAAGTACCACAAGTCAGAAAAGTCCAGACATCCAAAAAATGTGAATGATCAGAAATTCCAGAAGTCCAGAAGTCAGAAGAACCCAGATCAGAAGTACCACAAGTCAGAAAAGTCCAGACATCCAAAAAATGTGAATATGTAGAGGAACATCCGTTAGAAGCAATACTCAATTTCACGAATAACAACAGAGCAGTCAACCATTCGCTGCAGTTCCTTCAGAAAGACAAGAACGCAAACACCATACATATTGCAGTTGTCTCCTGAAAAATAGTGAACATTCAATTTGTACTTCATTAGTTCGTACCCAAAAAAGGATGCGACACATAGACTTACCGTCACAGCAAATAAGCATGAACTCACTGACGTTCGGCTTTTTGGCCATTCAAGTCAAAATAAGCTGTTCGCCATTCAAATCAAAATAAATTCGCCATTCAAGTTAAAGTAAGCAAGATTATAGAAAAAGGGATATGAACACCACTGAATTTGATCAAATCTGAAAAAGAGAGTGGAATGAACAGAATCATATTAATGGGCTACATCAACTATCAATTTCGGACATAGAAAGTGATGCAACCCAAGTGGAAAACCCCAACAATAACAAAGGAAAACCAATACAGGAAAGTTTCCTGCTCAAAAGACACACGCGCCCAACGTTTGAAATTATTTTCTTACTGTACGCGCAATCTTGTGCGCTTTCCGAGCTTTTGCACAGTGGAACGGACGCCGGCCGGCGCAATTTACTCGTCCGGTGGCCGGCCGGTATATGGCTCCGCCCTAAATAATGGAACGGCCGCCGGCCGGAAGGCCGTCGTCGGCCGGTCGCGGGCCGGTGCGAGTGTCTGAGCGCGACGAGAACTCGAGCAGCTGGAGCTGTGCCTCTCTGATCGGTTCTTTAACACATTCACGACAATACGACCCACCGGTGCGTCGTAAGATTCCTGAAGCTCTAGCTTTGCCAGTATACGATGGAATTCTACGGGGTTCTGGCAGATAATTGGGGACACCTTGGCGAAGCTCCAGCCAGAGTGGTTCGGGTTCGAAATACCGTAATGTTACGGTAGGTATACCGTAGATAGAGGTAAGGTACAGACTTTAGCTCAAGTTCTTCGCAGAGTAGTACTGTTTTTCGAAAATCAAGTTTGCATGCACGAGAAAAACAGGGAGGGCACGAGACCGATGTCAAAGTGGACACTATAATCGTGATCAGCACGTGAAATAACCGCAAAACACATTTCTTCATAAAAATCCATGATATTGGGTTCGTATAGAATGACTACAGTAACCTTACCGTTTACTGCCAAAAACTGAAATAAATCATATTTTGGAATCAGCGTCTCCGATAACCTTTGCTGGGAAATTCTCGAGGACATGTTTTTAATTTCTTCCAAAAGGACTACCATTCCGGACAATACGAGCCACGGGTGGGTCGTAAATTTGACAAAGCGAGAAAGGCTCTGGTCCGAAACGGCAGCAATCGAAAAATCGGCCGTGTCGTGAACGTGTTAAAAATCTGGGAGTCACAGCAACTTTCAATAGCGCCTTGATCTCTCGCAGGCGACTTAAAGGCAGCTTCCAGGCAGATCTGGACCTATGTGGCTTTTACGTGGAAAGTACTTTTGGGGCCCTAATTAAGGCACTGCCCAAGCGACAGCTCAGGAAGTGCTGTAATGGCTGAGATATTCCCCTCGAAACTGGCCACCGCGAACGTAATCGCATGGATTCATGGCAGTTTCGCGCCGGGATCCACGCTTTGCGCCATCAATCCATGCGAAACACGGTCGCGGGGTCCAGTTTCGAAGGGAATATCTCAGCCATTACAGCACTTCCTGAGCTGCCGCTTGGGCAGTGCCTTAGTTAGGGCCCCAAAAGTACTTTCCACGTAAAAGCCCCATAGGTCCAGATCTGCCTGGACGCTACCTTTAAGATAAAAAATGAGGAATATGTATGGTAGGAGAGGGGTCGTTGGTCCGGGGGGCAGGATCGTACATATTACGTAGAACTTTATTGCCTGCGCCATGTTTCATACACCAGCACAAGCTAGCAGTTGTCGCGAGGGACTTTGAATGGTCAGTTTAGTTCAAGGACTTTTCCATTAACTTTTATCTCTTCAACTTTGCAGCCTACGTTCAAAAATGACACCAAAAGTATGTGAAGACTTGAATGTGCTCAATGCACCTGGGGTTCTAACGCTTCTAATCTAAAATGGGTATTTTGAGTGGGTGACTGGATTTTTACATACGATACCTAGATAAGCTCAAAGGAGTGGCTCGGCAGAGCAGCGACTCTGTGGTATTGATCGTTCCTGGTCCCCTGTGACTGAGCTAGTCTGTACCTGTGCTTTGCAGCTTCTGAGAACATTATTAACCCGTTTTTTTAGACCTGAAAAATGCTGTTTGAATGAGAAACGAAAGCCCGTGGATCTCGGAGTCCAGGTGAGGCACCCTACCCATCTCGGTGGCAACTGGATTATTGGCGCAAGTACAATAATTCTGCAAAAGTCCGGCTTCCGCTTTGCCCAAACAGCAGCTTCCACGTCCAGAAAAGCGAGTTATTATTATCTTCAAGAGCTGCAAGGCCACCTTCAGACTCAGCTCATCCAGAGAAATCAAGAACGATAAATACCTCAAAGTTCTCAACCTGCCGAGCCATTGCTTGAAGGCAGCGTTCGGGCAAGCAGGCCACCTCTGGATTTTTTTCTTTGGCGTTACAGTAGCGTTAAACAAGACTTCTCCATAGAGTCCATGCAAGCGCATTATGTGTTACCCTGAGACACGTTACGCAGGCTGACTTCTGCGCTTTTTCTACATTGTTTCTTTCCATACAAGGTGCCTGGACTAGGACTGGGATGACGTGATATGTTTGTTACTGTTGTGTTTCATGTATGACTAACACTTTTGTAAGAGCAACGCTTCGCCTTGGAAATCTATCTTAACCTCTAAACTTACTGTATCCAGCGACTTATTTACTCAAGGCGTGACCGCGGCAGCAATCCGAGCCGAGAGGTGGCGCCGATGTTGGTTTTGCTTGTTTTGCTTGTCTCGATCCGGCAGCTCCCGAGGGGTGGCGCTTCCCTCACCTTTGGGCGGACGTCTGCCCCGTCGTCGTAGCCATCGTCACCAATCAAGGATATGGTATTTTGTATTTCTATACTGCAGCTTGTGTGATTCCAACAAGCTGCGTTTTATGTGGTGTTATGATAGCTGTACGTTCTGAGCCGCTTCTTCTGGGCCAACGCACTTCTTCTTGCGGTTTTTTGTCAGCGGCTGAGAATTATGGCGTGGACGCATGCCGATGTTTGTTTTGCTTGTTATCGATGGGCCCCAACTGAGTGAGGATGAGCTGCTCCGTCGAGTGTAGAGCAGGGTGCGCGCCGGTTGAATCCTGGCTTAAGTAGTGTAGTTCGGATTCATTCCGTTTTTCTATGCTGGTCTAAAGGCGATCGTCACGTCGATATGTTAGCTTTGCATAGCGCAATTGCAAAATTTCGGACAGTCTCTTTGTTCACTCCTTGCATAGGAGAACCCTACTAATTGCAAGCGATTCCTCTTCCCTCTTCCGAGGGTAACAAAGCGGACAAAGACGGCGGCGCTATATCAACAGGAGCGCTGGCATGTTGTGTACGCTTAACAGGCGCAGGGTGAGTCATAGCACGCATCACTTTTGAAACGGTTTCCGTTGCAGTATTTTTTTGCTAATCATTGCCATGCAATTGATGGTGCTCCCAACCTCTGTCTCCTTGGATCTCAACATTTTTTCATTATTCATCGCAGTATGTTAGATTTGGACCTTTGCCTTCACCGTCAAGAACCACAATTTTGCGCGCAAAACCGAGATTTTTCGGATGAAAAACATACTTTCGCGGCCTTTTTGGTAAATTCTCTTCGTTTCAGATCGTTGAGTTTTGCTTAAAATTGCATCTGTTGAATGCTATTGAAGTATCTACTCCGTCCATCATTCGCAAAGGTTATATTAGAAATGCCGTTTTCGCTAATTTTGTATTCCCAGAACGCCAGATGAATTTTGGAAAGATGAATTTTGGATAGTTTTTCTTTCTGCTTGCTTGAATCTTGCAATTTGCTGCTCGTTTTGGGGTCGATCTTTTGTTTTCTGCTAGTGAGCTAATCATCATGAACTTTCTGGGGACGCTTTTTTGATATCGTACATTCTTTGCCAATTTCGAGCACCGTAAAATCACATAAGATAATCTTCCCTTTGGTGTTAATCGTCTATGTATCTTTGTTCGAGCTGTTACTCAACCATGCCTTGGCATTTGTTCCAATTCCGATGAGTAATCTCACTATGACTCTCATGTTTTGTTTCACTTCTCGCGAGCATGCCACTTGTTTGAACTCAGAGAAGCAAGCGCCTGCCGATAAGACATCTCGTCGTTTTCAAATAATTCCCTCATCCGATGACATTCTTTCGAATCATCATCGTTTACCAATCTCTCCATTGATAGCTATGGCAAAACATAGCCGCTCCTCCTCATATCTCATACACAAATCACATTTTTGCGTTATTTTGCTTCTAAAATTTCATACTTATCTGGTCAGAGCAGCTAGCGTATACATACACGTAGGCTCCACCCTTACTCGTCTTGCTGTCACACACATCCTCCTGCTCTCTTTCATATCGCGTTCGAACATGGACCCTCTACAAAATCTCGTGCCCAGTCTTGACACTCGCAGGCGATAGCCCGTGAAGGGCAGCGCTAGGCGTTGGAATTATCATCTTGAACCTCGTCAACGCGTTGGTCCCATCGAGCACAGAGCAGCAGTGACTGACGCAACCTACGGACGAGCAGTATTCGGTTGCGCTAACATGGATGATCTCGTGCTCTTCAGCCCGCAAGACGGTGAGATACAGTGTCTCCTCAACTCTAGTGAGGTCACCTTCACTTCCATTCGACGAGCAGCCGTGGCCTTGGATCTAAGTAGATATCCAATCGT